AAGTCCCATTTAGCTAAATATTTACTAAATCTTCCTTATTCAACTTCCCAATTTGTTTGAATTTGAAATTTCAATTTCCCAATGATTCCCAAATTTGTATCAGCCCATGTTGATGAGTTCGTGATATCCCTTGCAGATATAATCGGTGAACGTAATACTAATACTTTATTATAAACATTATGAATTTCTGCTTCATTCAATTCTTCTAAATAAAAGAAGAAAATAATTCTCTCACTAATGCAGAAAAATAGAAATAAAACATCGTGTGAAGCAATTAAAATTATACATAATTGGTTTTACCCTTTCTTTTACGATTGTTATTTTTATCGTCAATAACATTTTGTGCTTTGTTACTTTTATCTGCAGATTGTTTTGCTAACACTTGTTCATTATCATCCATTACTTCCAATAGTTGTTCTTCTACGTTAATAGTTGGACTATTACTAATATCGATTAATTGATAATCATCTAGATACAAAGAACAAGAAAAGAGTTTACATCAAATGTAAAAACATTTTAGGCACAGTTCAATTTATTCATCTAATGTAAGGTGCACTATAGTTTCTCTATTAGATAAGTTGTATTCGAATAAGTTTTACCTAATTCGTCAGCATTCTTTACAGAATCATTTAATTGAGCATTATGAATGTGATTAAGTTTTTCTTGTTGTCCATGAGCTATCATGATTGGTGACGTATGTTGTTCTTCATTAACATTTACATTTGTTTGCGCAGCTACCACAAATTTACCAAGATAGATAAGAATATATAGAAAAAAGGAGTTGTTATGTTACGTACTAGAGTCGCGCCATAAGGCAGAAGATTATAGTCTACGTTATTGCGCAAGCATATATTCAAGCTTATGGTGCAAGACTGTGGTCAAGGTTATTGCACAAGAATATTCAAGGCTATGGTGCAAGAATATTCAAGGTTATTGCGTAGGGTATTTCCATTGGTACTGTACCAGACTTTACATGAAGGTTTGACGCAAACGTGGAGACCTCATACTTCATTCGAAAGAGAATTCTGTTCTGAGTAAGTATATCACATTTAAAAGTTTCCTAAACCTCGGCGCGAGGTTCAACGGAAGTCCAACATTTCTTGGTTTTCTAGAAAACCTAAGCGTTTCAAAATTCGGTAAGTTTCTCTTTGAATCATACCATCGGATAAAAAAAAAGGAGTGAAGGCGAAATACAACAATAAACTAGAATGCAATTGTGTTACGCACAAGTTGCGATGTCGATAGACTTTGTCTCTGACTGAACCTACTGCTCATGGCCGTATTGCATTTTTGCTTTGATTTAGTCTTTGAACTGCTTATAATATAAAAGGACAATGAAGGAAACTTGAAAAACATACAAAGAAACTATTTTTCGTTCTGTGACTAAATGGCGCCGGACAAAAATGACAATAATAATTATCTAAGTCCATAAAACCCTCTATTTATACTTGTGTAGCTTATGGCGCCGAATGTGGACTTATGTTTTAAAAAAAGCCGTGCACTTGTCAATCAGCAGTATCCAGAGACTATCCTCCCGTTTTCAGAAGTTTTCTATGTAGCGTGGTTCGCTAGATCACGCTGCGCACATTTTGCAAAACAAAGTGACTAAACAAGAAAAAAAGAAAAATCCCAGAACGATTATATAATGTCTATCGACATAATAAAAGCTTACTTTGTGTGATATTATCGTTTTCCTTAACAGTTGTATCAGACCAACTCACAAGTTCTTGCGGTACCTGACTAGACCGATTCCAGTCAGATAAGGACAGAGAATCTGATGATGGAATAAGTGATGACTGTAACATTGTAGCACGATTTTCGGACGAAGGATCTACTGTCTGTTTCGAAAGTATTGTCGTAATATTTAATGCAGATGATTGTATTGTTGTGTAATTTAAACTAGATTCATGTGTTGCAGTTATCGGTTGCCTTGATGATGAATTCATTGGTCGTTGTTGTAATAATGTTTCAGTATCAGGTAACGTCGTTACTTGATTATTTGATGTAGTAGTTGTTTCTTGTGTCGATGGTGGCTGATTGTTATTATTATTGTTGGGAAAGAATGTTTGTAAGGGATTATTATCGGGAGAAACTTGGTTCGCCGCCTTTAAAGAAAACGTTAGTCTACCATTAATAACTTCTTGTACAAGTAAACCATCTTGAACCAAAGCATCAACATCTTGTCGAACGCATTCGTTCTTTATGTATTTTGGAAAATCTTGATAATATTGTTTATAACGTTTTACCATAAATTTCGAAGCAAGATCTGTTAATTTCTTAACTGAGCATGATTTTTGGTGAATTTCTCGATATTCAAGTAACGTCATACCCCATTTATTTAATTTCAGTTCCATAT